GTGTGTGTGTGTGTGTGTGTGTGTGCACGTTCTGAGTGTGCTTATATATGTGTTTATGATCTCAAAATGTACAAAAAACTCCATTTCTTCCTGTTATTTCTTCATCTCATTCTTCCTCTTATCTCTGAAGATGAATGGAGTCTCAGAATCTGAAATCTTCCTTCAGACTGGTCTTTTTTCTAATTTGCTCCACTCTGAGCTGACTCACTTTGTGTTCAGTCTGTACTCACATTACTAGCTTTCAAATAATACTTAATAACACATGAAGAATAATTATTTATAGAAACAAATGTCACTGACCATTCATACGCACATAAGTATCAGCATGAATCTGATGGTTGATTGTCTTCTGTGTGGCCACACAGCGATAGCTGTCTGTCTTGGTCACAGTGGCGTTGAGGGTGATGTAGAAACGGCCGTCTCTTTCGGAAATATGTGGCTCCTCAGCAGGAAGTTTGTTTCCAGCACTGTCCCTCCACTCTACTTCAGGTTGTGGATTACCATTAGCTTCACACTGCAGCAGCGCCCTGTTGTCTGTTTCATCAAGATTTGCAGTGTTTGGTTTTGAGGCTGCACCTGTGGACAGAATGAAAGACAGATAAAGGACACATTGCAATACTAAAATTGTAATATCATAATAATATTTTTTTTATCCTTTCCCTGCTTGTAAATGTGGTTTACAATATCGGAGAAAACACAGAGGAACAGACAGAAAGAGAAAACCACAACAGGGGAAGACATTTAAAACATTTTGAACTTTTTTTTTTAAACTTTAATCTCACTGATTTGAAGTCTTTTTGAACGACATCAGACCCGTGGAGCCAAACATCTTATATTTGTGACAGGTAGAGAATGACATACTTACAATCAGGACTCACCTGGGATGTTTTCATCTAATCTGTTTTTTAACGTTATAAAACGCGGAGGTTGCACGCGACCCTAGATTTATATGAAAAATTAACAAATTTATACACTACATATTTACATGTTAACGGCAGAAGTCATTACAGACATATTACACCTCATCTGAAACCTTAAATGTTCGTTTTTACAACGGCTGGAAGAATCTGATTACAGGATTTACGACATCAGAACAGTGACGTCTTACTTTACGGCAGTAAACAGTTAGCAGCTTAGCTGTTATCCTGTCTAGCCGCAGTTAAAATGTATTTATAC